CCCCAAAACCCCAAAACCCCGTTTTAAATTTAATGATTGATTATGAAATTAAGAAAATAAATAAAATAATTGAAATCTTGATCGGAGATTATATATTTAAGGTTTAGCTCAGTATCTTTGTTATAGACTGAACATACTCTTAGAGTCTTCAAATTAAGTTTAGGTCTCTATCCTAACATCTTGATCAACGAAGCTAGTTGATTCGTATTACATATTCGAAAAATTAGTCTTGGTAGTTTTATCTTCTTGTTATATAGCAATTGTACTCTTGCTTCTATTTCTTTTAAATTACGGAGTCATCTTGCTAATGTAAGTCGTAGTTTTATTCCAGAGTTTTTCAATATCATTATTTTGGAATTTGAGATCCTTATTCTTGAGTGCTTAAGTGATTAAGTTCTCAGGTATTTTGTGATCCTATACAACTGATGACTTCTAGGTACTCTGAGCATTTTAGCTATCATCTTAGGATGGCATATTAAGGTCTTGGTTAGATTGATCTAGTAAGGATTGATTGTTAAACCCACTTCTCCAAGTTCTACCGAATGGATTATGTACTTTATTATTTTCTATATTGCCGGTATTTCTAAGTCTAATATTCTAATTTTTATCATCGTTCTTGATTGAAATTCTTTTAGACAGGAAATTTGCTGGCAGCTTTGGTCTTATTTAGGCATCTACCGATTGAAATTGACTTACAGAATCAATAGAGAATTAACTTGACTAAGTAAATGTCTTGTTTACTATTCTAGGGAGGTTTCTAGTTGGGGTATTTTGATCTACTGCAAAATTATTTCTATTAATAGGTTTGAACTTTTCTGATAATCTATTTCTTAGTGATTAAAAGTCTATTATAACGTTCATCGATTTAAAAATAAATATTACTTTGAGAAAAAGCTCTTAAATTTTATTTGAGCTCACTAGTAGTTATTTCTTCTGACAATTACAGTTGCTTTAAATGAACTACTGGCTTTTATTTAATCTTAGTCTTATACAGCTCACTGAATAACTCAATCTCATTATTGAGTTTGAGTGTTTTGATGCCATTCTTAGCCTAATCTACATAATCACCAAGTACATGGATAGTCCTGGTTACTTCATCCTGCAAAATATTTTGCAAGTACTTTTCATAGTTATCTACAGTAGGATCATAGTCTAAATATATTAAGCTTTTGGATAATCTTACTAAGCGATCCATATTTATATGAATTTGATTCATTAAGCAATGGATTTGAGTGGGAATCAAGACTTTCTTTAGTCATAATTCCATTTTACTTGCTCAGTCTCTTCTTGGATGTTTGTTGCTCTTTCATTAGATCCTTAATCTCCAATGATAATACTTAAACATCGATGTTTTTTCTCTAAGCAGGTGGGAAATCTTTTATTATTTGATTGTAGCTATCAACTATCTTAATGATGTACTCCCAGAATTGGCAATTATCCATCTTCCCTTTTATCTTGATACCCTGGAGTTTATGATTCAAAATCTGCTCATATTCCATATGTTAAAGTTACTCAAGTATTTTCTATTTTTAATTGTGATTATTCCTTGAAAGAATTTCAGATAGTTATATTTTTAATTGATCGTCATAGTTGTCTTTATCCTTGCCTTGATCCTACTCATTTATAAGTTATCCATCTTGTATGTTTATTTTATTTTAAATAGATTTATTCTTAGTAGATCTTGCTAATGAAGACTAAGATATCTCATTTGATGTATCACTAAAAACCAAGGCTCCTGATTTGGGTTCATGCTTAACTTCCAAACCAGGCCCTTAAGTCATTAGCCTGTTTAGATATGTATTGATTTTTAACAGTTGAGAAAGATTCTTCAAGCTAACTGCGTCTTTCTTATTAAACATCAGATTAGCTATCTTAGGTCTAAGACTGAATCCTATCATTTCTCCATCTTTAGTATACTCGATCTTGATACAATCCCCCAAAGGTATATTAAACTTTTATTATTTTTCCCCTTTATTCTAACTAGACATAAATTCTTCTTTAATAAGTAGATTGTAGTCCTCTACAAGTTGCTCCACTCCCTTTTCCTTAAAATTATCAAGTTTAACTTAAGTTTATTGAGTTCCGCCTAAACTAATGGAGATTTCTTGCTTGATTTCTAGGATCTATTCTGGTTTAAGCTTTGAAGATCTCTCTGCAGATGAAGTATCTGTCCCTCTTGATTATTTTAAAGAGGAATCTGGTATAAGATTCTGATATTTCTTCTCAATTAGCTTTTCGAATTCTTCTTTTATCTGCTTTACAACAGGTTTATCCTGGTCTTCGTCATCTTCATCTTCATCCTCTTCAGTATCATTAACTGTTTCATTGGTCTTAGCAGTCTTTATATTTTTGCTTTGCCTTACATTTTAATTTCTTGTAACTTTTGATTAATTAATGTTTAGAGACTGTTTCTAAGGCTATAGTGTTTTTGATTGTGCAGAATTTGGTATCAATGACTTTTGTCTTTAATTACGAGAGTTATTAATGAGGCTATTCTGCTAATTTAATTTTTCTTTATTTTAAACGATAAGCTTTTCAACTGCAACTATGTTTTGAATTCTTTAGAGTTCCAACTTGTTATTTACTGATAATTCTATCAAATTTCCAATCTATTATAGTAAATTGATGCAAAAATAGATTTACTAGGTCTTGAATGCCTTCAAACATATCATAGAGGACATTTTTATCTGTTTCAGATAGTAAGAGTTGAGTCATGTTTGATGATTTTGCATTTTTCGTTTTTCTCTCATCAATTATATACCGCTTATTGTGGACAATTCCAAATCTATTCAGCTAGTTGAAAACTTTCTTAGTTGCATCTTTCATTCTATTATAGTTTCTTGCATGCTCTCTCATCTATTAATACAATAAAATACTCTAGTTAAAAATATTTACATTTTCTACGAAATGAATGTCTTCAAAAAGCTGAGGGATATCACCTTGCTTAAATGGATCATGCTTAATTGCCTCAATTTATTTAAATTTTTCTTCTTATTCAGGAGTATAACCGTTTTTGCTATTATATAATTCTATATCCCTGATGAACCTAAAGCATATGGATTGATAGTAATGCATTGTTTATTTCTACTAACTATAGGCATTATCAAGCTCTTTCTTTTGCCTTGTTAGTTTTTCATTTTTCCTAGTCAAAATTTCTTACTACTGCTGATAGGTATTATTATCAAGATGAACACTGGTTAATGCCTTTTTTAGCTCATTGATCTCAACCAATGCTTCAGTGAAATTCTTAGCACTGGTCTAGCCATAAACTAATTTCTTAATATTTGCTTAGTCTACTTAGAGTCTCAGCAATCTAGATTCTGCATCACTGAGCATCATTTGGTATTACTCCTAAGTCTTCATGGCATTTTGCTTATATTCTGACAGTGCAAGTTCTAGTGCATCAATTCTGAAGCATGTCTTTAGCTTGTAACTTCTAATTCTACAATTTAGTAAAGTCTCAAGTTTATTGTAATGTAATTAGTGACCTTTGATCTCCTCTTTCAATTACTTTTCATACTCCTCAAGACTAACCCACAGTTCGCCCTATTAAAAGTTATTATATTAAACTTGGCTTATCTTACTGCATATTTTTGAATTTCTTCTTCATTTTAAACTTCTTCTCCATCCCATTTCTCGAGCATTTCTTGCATAGCTTCACCTGGCTAGTCAACTGCCTTCTGATGATCCATTTTTTCAACTTCTTTTTCAAATTCCATCAGATCTACAGCCATTTCATCAGTGTTATTTTCAAAATTAGAAACAAGTCCATCAATATTTTTAATTTTCTCTTAGATTTTTTTCATTTCCATTGCAAAATATGATAACTCTACATCACCAGAAGACATTCTTCTAGATCCTCCTTTAGATCTTCTGGTTTAGCCATGAGCTTCATAAGATCTTTTATAATCTATTGATCCCATATTTCTTCTTCCAGAGTAGATTTCTTGACCTCCTCTATTTTAATTCATTCCTCCTATTTTCCTGCCAAAATTTAAAGGACTTGCATAATGACCAGTGTTTTTAGGCTTAAATGGTGACTGTGATTTAGCTTCAGTTAACTTTTTATAGCCTTTGATGATATTTGGTCTTGGATGACTTATGTATTGATCAATCAGCGACCTGTTATTCTTGATTTCGTTTTCTAAAATCTGAGATATTTTGAGTGTGAATTCCTCAAATATTCCTTGAACGTTTTTGGTTTTCATTAGGAGATTAGTCCATTTCAATTTGTTTTCAAAAAATGCAGAAGGAAGACCTTAGTATTCATTATTTAGTCTGTTTATGACTTAAATATAAACTAATTCTGCTAATTGTCTCTTAACTGCTTGCTTGTTTACTTCTTGTTAATCAATAAATTTCTGCAGGTACTCTTCTCTATCGAAATTTTTATTTTCACAATAGAACTAGAAATTATCAAAGGAGAAGTTATCATCTCATTTTAACACTACTGGATTATTTCTTCTAACATATGTCTCATCCTTGTAATCTTGATGATTCTATCCATTATTTACAGTTGATTAATTGATATTTTTTGACTCAGTTTCCATTGACAAATAATTTTAATACTAATCCGATTTCATTATCAAAATCCCTTTTATGTGATAAATTGATTATAATGGCTCTTGGGGTTTTGGGGTTTTGGGGTTTTGGGG